CTGCTGAGTATCCAGCCCTGTTTGGATCCACAGATCGGACACCTTCTTTCCTGGAAAGGCAGCCATCTGTGTACTTCTATACTGTCCTTTACGGCACTACTCTGAGGTGCTGCATTTTGAGGCCCTCTGTTAGAGATGCTTGTTTTCAAACCAGAGACAGTTTTAGCATTTGGCAAAAGGTCTTTTAGGTTTCACCGCTAATCCAGTTTAAGGAGGGGAAAAAAAAAAAAATAGCCCACAACCCACATAGGGCTGGGGAGGGAAATACCTCTTTGTTTTTGTAGATGGAGGCTTACACTGCAGGTTGACATTCCAGCAATATTAACTTCATTAAGCCAGGAATGCAGCCCTGCATTCTTGCAGGGGAAGGAGGACAGGGAGGATGCTGGTCTGGTCTGGGGAGTAGTGGGACCCCCAGGGAGACCTGAAACATGGGGTGTCCTCGTCATTCAGCCTGGCTTATTCTTGGGGTTTATGTGCACCTCTCAGTAGGAATGATAATGACCTGTAGTCCTCAGGCTTGGCATCTGGGCCCTCCCAGTGTCATCTCTAACCTAATTAACACGACAGAGATTAATAGGGGCTGTGGGGTGTGGGTAACAAATGGCTTTACTACAGTGGAACTGCTCTGTCATCTTTTTCCCCTTTCTGTCCCAGTATCCCTGTGTCATGGGATGGCTCACCATGGTGATGGATCACCACACTTGCTGCTGCCATCTTTCCCCCATGGCTGAGGAGCAATTCACATATTTCCCTAAATGCCTCTGGGCATGGGATCACTCCTGAGCGAGAAAGAGTGACCCCACAGCTTGTTACAGCCATGCAGGTTCCCTGCCCAGACATCAGCTGAAAACTGTGGTGCTGGCAGACCCGATGCAGGATCTACCCACTGCTGCTGTGCCATCAGGAGCAGCCCCAGTCCCAATGCTGGAGCCCATAGTGGAGTGAACGCCCTGCCCTGGGACTGCCAGGGGAGGGAGTGGGTGCCAGGCTCCTCTTACCCCGTTCCTCTCGCTTGCTGTGCCGTTGCTTCCTAAATGAGCTTTTATTTACTTTTTAAGAAAAGCTTTACAGGGAGACGCTTATCAGCTTGGCAGCTGACAAGATGCAGAGACCAGTCCAAGAGGTGGGCCAAGCCCATCTCGCTGACTAGGACTTCTATCAGCCTTTTCAGGGTAGCACTATCTGATCTTAATGGTGTTAGAGTAGCGAGGGTTGGGGCCACCGGAGCACCCCATCCTGCAGGCATAAGTGAAGAGGCAGGTACAAGATGCAGTCTCTGTGGTACGAAAACCTCTTCCTGTCCTTGTGAAAATAGTGAAACAACTTCTGTATCAGCTTGTGTGCTACAGCACTTAAATTCCCACCACTGAAATTTTCAGGATTTCCGTACAGCGGTTTCAACGGTGCTGTTAAATACAGTGTTGGGTATGTATCTGACATGTCAAGCAACATTGTAAACAGAAGCATAATTATTGAAATTACAGTCACTGTAATGCAGGAAAGACCACAGAGATGGAACAGGACTTTTGGGGGATTGTCCTCTTTATTTGTGTCCAGTGTAAATGGTATTTTACCCAAGGCTTCCTGTTAGTGTGACCTGTGGACCAATTCTGGCTAGCACCAGGTGTGGTTCCTCTCACTTGTGGTGGGAGCTGAAGGAGGTGGCAGTAGGGGTTTGTTTTGCCTCCTTGGTTTTTAAAAGCTTGCAAAGGAAGTATTTGCTGTGTCTGCTCCTGTAAGGGACTGGAACGCTCTGGGAGGACGGCTGCGAGGTAGCTCAGAGCCTCCCCAAACACCTGCTGTAACGCTGGCCTCTGCCAGTCCTTCGTCTGCTGTACAGACACAAATGCAGGCTCTTACTTGGTTGTAAGTCTCTGTCAGGAAAAAAAGTCACCAATGTTCTCCACCCCTTTTTTTGGTTTTGACAGAAAAGCAAAAGCCAAAACTTGGAAGTCTGGGCTGGTCTTCAGAGGCAGAAGGTGGTTTTATGAAGCATTCTTTTTTTCCTTTTTTCCCTTTTTTTTTTTTTCCCCCCCTGCTCCTTTCATGTCTACGGAACAAGCTCTTTAACTTGGCTCTTATGTCACCTGTCATAACACTTTCCTGGGCAAGGCCAAAGAGTAGAAGGACTGGTCAGGTGAATGTGCTCAGCTGGCATTGCCCCTGAAGCCTGAAACACCCGTCAGGTCATATTTTAAGAGACTTGAGAAGACTCAGGGAAAAATCTTGCACTGGCTGAGTTGTTTGGATTTGATAGTTCGTAAGCAGTGTTACCAAACATTGGCTTTGAAAGCAGCACAAAGCTCTTTCAAGATGACGTGCTGTTCAGGCTGTCTCTTGTTAACCCTCACCTGGGTGCAGAGCAAGGCCTGGTCCTTTGAGACAGGGCAGGTTTCCCTTCCTTTCGGTCATCTTCTTGCTCCGTGAAAGAAGGTGGGTGTGAGCAGGAGATGCCAAACCTTCTGAGGAAGGTGTTTGAGTATGGTCCTCCCCCTTCTCACCATTTGAGAGGATCCCATTCCTACATAGAAGATGAAACCTGTCAAATCTTACTCTGTCCACTTGCTTGTGCCATGTTGGTCCATGGTGCTACACGATGGCAGAGTGGAAGTAGGGGTAGGACTTGTTTGTTTAGCAATAATAAACTGGATCTGCTAAACTGACAGTACGACTAGCTTGGTAAGATGATGTTTCCTTTCTGTAAGTGGCTACTTGTTTATAAAGCAAGAACTCTGCATTTCTGGCTAAGGTGTTTGGGAAACTTTAGTTCAGCATCTCTTGAATCAAGGCATAGCTGACCTTCCTTCCATACTGTCTGGAGTTTCACACGTACTTAAGAGACTCAGTGCTGTCACTTTTCCCTGCCCTGCCATTCCCTGGGCAGCTTTGTTTTAAAGTGTATTGCTTGGAAACAATTGTATAGTCAACTAAGTACTTAATGAATAAGAATTTCTGATTCTTTAATGTTAAATGCTTTTTCATTTTGTCTTTCAGATAATGAATATGTTTTTATAGACCTGGAGCAGAAGCTTAGTAAATACTTTTCAAAGGAATGGAAGAAAGAGAGTACCAAAGTAAGACAGCTGTTTAATTTTGGAGGCTACTTCTTTGGTATTGGACTACACAGTGAAATGAGAGCTCTTAAACTAAGGCCCGTAAAGTATTTCTGGAAGATGGTCTGCAGAATGCTGTTGAGTAGCAAGATGCAGTGACTTGTGCACAGCTGTAAAATTAATTAAAAGAGCTAAACCAACCCCTTACACAACTTTACCTGAGCAATAGTAGCCACATGGTTGCTGCTTAGTTGCTACAGGAGTGGAGGAGGTCAGTTGGTTAGTCTTCCTTTTGAACTCACCTGAGATCATGAAGAGTCTAGAGATCTAGTTATCCTAGAGCAGAACAGCCTAAAATGACGTTTTGTGACTTGAACCTGATAGGAGGGTGAGGGCTGGAGCTGTGACTCTTCCAGAGTACATGCAAAGGGACAGTGGGGTGAGAGGAAGGATATTTTGTTTGAGAAGAGCCTGACTTCTTTAGGGCTAGCCTGCCTGTTAAGGGAGAGAAAAGCTGTGTGAAATAAAGACAAGCCTATGCTTAGTGCTAGTCGTTCAGACATGATAATGCCTGTTTGTGTGTGTCGTCATTAGAGGAGCCGCAGTAGAGAACAAAGCCTAGCATGCAATTACATCTAGATATCTTAATTAGCTCATTATGACTTTTTCCACCTTCCTTAAGGGTTTTCTTTTGCAGAGTAGGCACGCTTGCCGCTTCTGCTGCTTAGAGAAGTTTGCAGATGACTAGTGAGGATTGGGGATCTCCCTTATCCCATATTGCTGCTCCCAAACAAGTGAGGGTTATTCAAAGACAGCTCCAGTCGTGCGGAGGGCTGTCTGGCCAGCCAGTGAGGCTTTCCTGAGGCAGGGGTTTCTGGTCAACTCGGGATGGGGATATGCTTTGTGGTTGCTTTGACGCTGGACTTTGCAACACCTTTTTTAAGTCAGGATAAGTGTCAGACCTCTGGTGTGAGGTGAATCATAAAAGGGTGAATGAGCTGCCATTGGCAGTACTGAAGCCTGAGGAGAGTTAGGCTATCAGACTTGGTTAGCAGACAGGGATTTAATTTCTATGAAGAGGTTTCAGGTGCAAAGCTCAGTCCAGCTGATAAAATAGGGTGACTACGACCAAGTTCCAGACATAAAATGTTAATATTTGCATGATGATCAAGAAGTTGCTGTCCGCTTCGGTAGTTAAAACGACAGCAGAACTCTGGCTTTCTTCTAGCAGACATCTTCAGCGTGAAGCACACATCAGTGTCTCCTTTTGGTCTGTGGCTGCAGGAAGGTGTGAATAACTAAACCTCAGCCCTGCCAAACCAAAGGCAAGGAGTCAGTATCATGCTGGTGCCTCAGCCTCGGGCAGCAAATGCTGAGCACAGCAGCGCGCGTGTCCCTGCCGAGTGATGTGGGCACAGGCATTGGCGACTATTAAGAGGTGTGCCCTGGAACTGCTGCCGTGCCAGCATGGCACGCTGCCCTGCTGCCTTGCCCGGTGTGTCGTGGGAGGCTGTGCTAAACTCGCTGCGTTCAGCGGCGGTGCGTCTGCAGCGCTGCCAGGTGCTGAGCTGGGTGACTCTGGGCCAGACAGGGCGTCCCCAGGTGACGCTGGGACTCTTGTACCTGCTCATTCCCCTGCCGCCAAAGCCTTCTGCCCTCCTTAGGGTGTTTTGCCATTCAGCCTGCCTAAATGCTTTATAATGCCTCGTCGTGAGCCTCCGAGACAGTCAGATGCCCCCTAAAACTTGCCCAGAGCTAGGAGTAGAAAATGAAAAGCAGTATGGGGAGTGAGCCTGGGAAAAGAGAACATTACCAGATGGGGTAACAGGAATTTTGGATGCTGTACATTATTTAACTTGTATTCTGTCTCTGCTTTAGGGAACAGAGAAATTCATCCCTCCTTTTGTTGCGTTCTTTAGAGTACAATACTATGTAGAAAATGGAAGAATAATAAGGTAAGTTCTCTTTTGTGGTAGTTACTGTGTTTTGAATTATTCACTGTGTTCTTAAAAGACAAGAAAAATAGTGTTTCTTTGTTAAGCTTATCTCTCTGACCTCACAGAAATAAGCCCAGCCGTGAATGTTTTCCCCCGAATCATATTCCTTATCCCTAAAAAAAAAATTGTAACTGCTTTTCCATCTGTGTTTAGAGAGCAGGTTGAATGATGACAATATCAAAATACGATTAACACTCTTTGGCTTCTGTCTTTTGGTTGTATGAAAAGCATCAGATGAATATACCAAAATAGTAGCTATTTATATTCCAGAGCACTCGCTATTAATTTTGGTTCTGTATTTTTGTATCTGAGCAGTGCCCTGGGCTGTCTACTCCTGGAAATGGACTTTTGTAAATGGACAATAGAAATTACGTCATAAGTTAGAGAGCTTTGCATGTGAGTGTAGTCATGGAATATGGGCTGCACTCATAACACCCTCACCCTCACCCGTGGTACAGAACAAAGGATGAGGTAGTTAAAAATGAACAACTGACAGAGTCAATTTACATCAGTGCTTCTGACACGGCTGTGACCCTGGGGCAAGCCAAGAGCTGGGAACGTTTGGGTGGATTAAAATCTTTACCGAATTTTTGGTATTTGTTCTCGTCTTGAACAAAGCTTGGTGGGTTTTTTGTTTGTCTCTCTCCATAGTCTTTCATTTTGGGCACAGGGGAGTCTTTCTTCTGGAGTCTGTTGGGCTGCTAAGTGTGTTTCATTTAGTTTTGATTTTAGGTACAGGGGAGGTTGCATATCACTGTTCACCCCCGATGGACATATCCTTTAGCATCACAAGTGATTTTCTCTTGCACTAGTAGTTTATTTGGAGAGGTTTGTGGAGCTATGCAGGGGTAGTTAACATGGCCCCTTCAAACCACACGCGTACGCACGCTTCTACGAGCAGACTGTAGTGTCCAGCACCTCATCTATACGTTCTGTCAGCAGCCTGCTCCCCGTGAGCTCTCACAGTGGGGGTGTGTGGGTTATCAAGGCTGCCCCATAGTTATGCCTTATCAGACAATCCCTCTTTAGCAGCTGGAGGAAGAAGACAAAAACAAGCCCAAGGCTCCCGTGTCTTTTGATCTACCTTGCAGGGAATTAGCTGTTGAAAAGTACCTTGAGCCTAAGGCGAGGTGAAATGAAAAAGCAGTGCCAGGTTTGGAGGGGAAAGGAGGACAGGTGTGCAAGAAATAGGACTGGGATTCAAGGGAGTTGACTCTCCTGACTGCTACAGGCTTTCCAGAGAAACAGAAGTGCTTGATGTAGTCAGTCTCCAAAACAGGTGTGACGTGATTTTTCTTTCATCTGCCTTCTGCCCTAACTTCTCAGATCTCCTCAAGAGAGAAGCTATCATTTCCCATGTTTGTACAACACTCAGTGGGAGAAGATCTTGATCTTGGCTTGGTGTTCCCTGCACACACATAACTGTATCAGGGTGGCATTGGCACACATCAGGGGTGTTGGAGTTCAGTCCCTCAGAGGGAAGATGTGTTTGAGGGGCCTTATCTGAGCCTCAACTTTTTCTTCTTCAAGTAAATTTGCCTTTGTGTCTTGCAGCGATAAGGTGTCACGGCAGTTCTACTACTGCCACCTCAAAGAGCAAGTACTTATGTCTCGATGCAACCACAAAGAAGAAATCTACTTCTTGCTAGCTGCCTACAGCTTGCAGGCAGACTTGGGCAACTACAGGGAGAAGGTCCATGATGGCAAATACTTTGAACCTCAGGCTTATTTCCCACAATGGGTAAGTCTGGGAGGGTCTTTCTGTCAACAGATTGTGCATGCAGCAGGAGCTATGTCAAGGTGGTACCTAATTTCAGCCACGAAACTTCCCCATCTCCCACTGCAACAGTCAGGCAGGGTGGTAGAGCCTCACCCTGAATTTCCCTCAGGAGGTATTTCCTCTCTTTCCACTGGATGTAGGTACCTGTTCCTCCTGGGCTCACTCATCAGTGGGGTGGGTGGCGTGTACCTTTCCTTGGTGAGGGAATGTGTTGGTGTCAAACGAATGACTCCATCGGTGTGGCCATCTTTGTTTAGTTGTTGTATAGCTTGAAGGGTTGTGTGTTTGCAGTGGTACATCAGCAAGATCCGCATAACCGTAGCGCCACAGAAAACCTCAGGGCTGTGAAGCCAAGTCTGTTGCCCTTTGTTCCTGTCTCTGTAGCGCTTACCTCTGGGATGGATAGACCCAAACCCTAAGGGGTAGTACTGCTGTGCAGTGCCTCTGGTGCTTGCTTTGTCATTAATCTCTGCCTCAACTGCAGTAAAAGAAAAGGGAAGAGCCTGGAAATGGGTTTGCATGTTTGTTTATAAGCATGTGCACATGGGCTTGTGCCCTTCAAGACTTACAGACATCTTAGAAAGACAGTATTTGGCTTAGTTGTCAAAGGTGAATTAGCTAAGACTGACAGAGCTGGTTACTTGCAGAGAATTCTCCTCCTGTAGTGAAATGTCAAGAAAACTGTTGATAAACACTTTACTGTGCACAAAAATAGCAAGGGAAGCTAGCTTTGCTGCATCACTAATGTCTGATGATGTCTGTTGGAGCAGGATGTTCCCTTGGGCCTGGACAGGCCCTGCTCTGCAACCTGATTTATTTCTGGATCCCCTTCTCTGCTGTGACAGCAGATTTTTAGCCCAGCTCGTGCCTCGGGATAGCTGTTGAAAAGCCCACTTGCCTCTGCTAACTGGCTGCTTGTCCCCAGGAGAGTCGCATCTCCCCTGAAAGGTGGCATTGTCCCCCATTTGGGGAAATGTTTAGAGCCGTGACATGGGTTGCATCGGGGAGGCGAGGCTGGTAGTCTCCTTTATGCACAAGTCCCAGCCTGCTTGCCTTGCTGTGCAGAAACGTGCCTTTCTCCCAGACAGCAGGCCTTCATCCTGTGCCCTTCCCTGCTACAGGCGCCTGGCAGGAGGTAGCTAACGAGGGGCTGGAAAAGGTGGGTCTCATGTGCCATTTCTGGGGCAGTTAAAAGTCTTATCACAGACTATCACTCATCTGGCAAACATTGCAAAGGCCAAGGCAAAGCCGGGCTCACCTGCGCTGAGCCACAACCCCAAGCAAATATGTGAGTGATTTACGGCATCATTACGAAGAGTGAAATCTGGCAGGCGTGGGGACGCTTCTCTCCCTGCCTCTGGGCTCCCGTGGGGAGATACTGAGCGATCTCCTCCTCCAACGCGACCTCTTCCTCCAACACGTGCTTGAGATCGTTTGGCCGAGGGCTGCCCCAAGCCTCCTGCCAGTGAGGAGAGGCAGCGATGCCCTGAGGGGATCAGCCCGGCTTTCAACCCTGGAGCTGGCGGGTCTCTTTCTGCTGATGTTGTGCAGCTGATGGCATCCGTGATGTCCTCCATGGAGCCCAGCCTTCCTCCTGGGAGGGCAACTAAGCCAGTAGGGAGTGCAGAGCTGTTACCAGACAGAGTAAACGAGGGGCTTAATTTAAAATGAAATGGGAAACTGGGTGGTGGTGAGGTCTGGTTGTTTTGAGCCCAGGCAGGTTGTTCCTGGCAGGGTGTTCTTGGGTACCTGGTGGGATCTAGATTTAAATGCCCCCAGTAGTGGGGGATTTTGTGAAGTGAATTCAGCCAACACCCCTCTTACCTGTCACTGCTGCTCTGGCAGCCTGGAAACGGCCAGTCTGACATGGGAGGGGGCCGGGCGGCCCCGTAGGCCTCTACGGAGAGGGCACGTGGGCAAGCACAGGGCCTGGGCACTCGCAGGGCAAGAGCAAAAAGCCCAGTGCAGGATTTTCTACTGCTCAGCAAAGCCAAGTGCCTGCCAACCACTCCTGACAGATACAAAATACCTTGAGATAGTGTTATCCACCCCTTTGAGGGTGGAAATGCCAAATAAAGCCCAATGTGTAGTTTCTGGTCTTAAAAGGACCACCTAGCATTTCTGCAGTGTTTGGAGATGTTGCTGTTGATTGTGTTGGCATGCAGAGCAGTATTTGTTATCTGCCCATAGGCATTTATGGATGCCAAGAGTTAGGAAAACTAATTCCAGTACTTAAAAATGAAAAGAACTGACACAACGTCTGTAGTCTTGGTCTGTTATGATTTTGGAGGATCTGTTTTGGAGACATTGGTATCATCTGGGCTGCTTTAAATGCTTATCCTCCAGGGAGGTAGAGGTGAACGTGGACTAACATCTTGAGGGACCGTATGAGCCTCCTCCACCCCCGGTTTCTGCTTTGCTGTTGATCACAGCTGCCTCCCTTGGGGATCACTGAGGAGTTGCTGACCTGTTTGTTTTCCTTGTGGTGTAGATAATTGCAAAGTGGGGGAGCGACTACATCTTGAAACATGCCCCAGAGATGCACCGGGAACAGCAAGGGCTGAGCCCTAAGGAAGCCATGCTGAAGTTCATTAAGGAGTCCTGCCTGCTGGAAGATGTGCCCGTCCACTTCTACAGGCTGCAGAAGGTTAGACAAAGAACTGCTTATTTTGAACTTCTCTCCCATCATTAATTGGGTGCACCGCTGCATTTTTCTCTTTGTTTATTTGAGGGACAGTTGCCTCTGATTCAGAGGCCTAACAAGTCTAAAATGTTCAGCCAATGAGGCCTGTCCCCCAAAACCAGATCTGTTGCCAACATACAGGTATTGCTGGAATCTAGTTTTGTTCCTCGGCCAAGAAACTGGCCACAGGAATGGCAGAACTTAATCTTTGTCCCTGCCCGTCAATAGGCTCGCACCAAGAAAATCAGAGGAGCCTTTTTTGTTCATCAGCCAGTTTTCACACAAATGCCATGTAATAACTGAAGGTGACACTGAGCCATCCTGACTTTCTCACCACCACCACCCTCCCAACCCTGCCAGAGGGTTTGGTGTTTTATCAGCTGTATGTCAGGTTTTGGATTCATGGATTATTGTTTGTCCCTGAGTCTTAGGCACCTTACCCAAGCCTGCTTAAACTGAATGTGCTTCATTTTCACATGCTAAGAGAGTTTAGGTCCAGAAATAGGATTAAAGAGAAGTTTTCTGTTCCACTTAATTGAGTGAAACCTGCTCGTGTGATTGGGAATGGTTTGGGCCTTTTTTCCAAATGGAGTTTCTCCACTGTCAGACTCATGATTAAACTTCTTGGTTGTTTGTGCTCAGTGGGAAGTATCTGTCTGGGAGGTATCTGTGTCCTTTGACGAGACCGAGCAGCTCTAGTTACTGGAGAAACGTGTTTTCTGGGGGATATAAGTTCCAGTTTGGTCTGTACTCCAGACTCAGTTTCAGTTCCTTGGAGGCCATAGGTGCTCCCCTTACCTCTCCTGTACTCTCTGTTTTGGTTCTAATGCTGCCAATGATTCAGTCATAAGAGGGATGGTTACACTTGAATGCCGTAAGAAATCCAGCTGGCAGGACATGATACGCTTTGTATCCGAAAGCAATGGGGCTGTGAAATCAGTTGCTCTTAATATCCAAATTCCTGTCTGACTTGAACTTGTATTTTATGCATAGCTAACTCCTTCATGTGTCGCTTGATCCACAATGTGCTCTTCTTCCTGCCGTGTGACACAGTTATCGCATCTTGTGATGAGGTAGCTTCCTCCTAGGTGACACCTGGGTGACAGAGCTCCTGATCGACTGCCAGGTGAAGGTGTCGGAGTGCTGGCTGCCCTGAGGTTTCAAAAGGAGTCACTTTTGTCTTACACCCTCCTCATGGCTGCTCCTGAGGTTGGAAGCTCCAAAAGAAAGCACAGCACTGAGCCCCGTGTCTCTCCTCCAGACCACTACTGATTTACAAAGCTCTTTGCCCTCACGAAGCAGAAAGCATTTCTTGGTGACTTTAAACCGCAGACATGGAAGGTACCGAGGCAAAGGGTAGGGTGGCATAAGGCTTGCATCTTGACAAGCCAGGGGAGGTGAGAAAATTTTGATGTAAAGTTTGAGCTCTGTGAGCCCATAAATTTTTACTCCAAAATTTCCTTAGTCCTCCTCCTCCTAGCAAGAGAAGTGTGAGTTCCCCCCCTAAATCTGCCATGCCAGGAGAGACTGAAAGTAGTAGTTTATGATATTTTTTTTTTTAATTCAAGCAAAGGAATCTCATTATCTCATTAGAGACCAAGTGTGTCATACCAAGGTACAGCATGAGGAAACACAAGGCAGTGTTCCAACCCAGCCACAAACATTTAAAAGCAACAGCTCCCAACACTGAAATCAAAAGGTTAGAAGGCAAGTCCTGTAACTCTGGGTGTTGATTAGCTCCCTCATGGACAAGGAACACCTGAGGTCCAGTAAGGCCCTGGATGGGAACAGCAGCGTCATGGCAAGGAGAAAGGAACAGGCATTCCTCCTGTTTCGGGCTCTCTGTCACCTGGAGAGCGTGAGTGGTGCATGTCCTTGAGGACAGCAGAGAGACCGCGTGGCAGTATTGAGAGGTTATGAGGTACCTCTGAGAGCAGCAATTGTCCATGCTCTCAAATCACTGAAGCTACAGGATTCCCTGTCCAGAGCAGCGAAGGCATTTGCTGGTGAAATGCTTGAGACTCCCCCAGCATGAAGGGATTTTCGGTGTAGATATTTCAGGGGTCAACAAGGCAAGGTGCACTTTACAAACACAATAAAACCCCAGTGAGCTGATGGCATCTGCCTGATGAGCCGTCCTGCTACCTCTCCTGCAGTAGGTGCCAGAACAAGAGCATGGTCTTTGTAGATTAACCTTTGACTCGGGGCTCTTCTGTTCTTTTAGGATAAGAAGGAGGATCGCCCCACAGTTATCCTGGGCCTGACCCTGAGAGGAATGCACATCTATCAGGTAACAGACTGCCTGAAAGCCTTCTGGTGGTGCAGTATTAACTCTCTGCAGCTCCTCTGCCTCCCCTGTGAGCCCAGGCTCTGCATATCTCAAATTCTTGGTGGTTTGCAAATTCTTTGCACATCGCTGACCCCACCCTGTACCTGCCAGTCCCTGTGTCACTCTGAGTTTGATGTGTTGCAGGAGGTGAATCACGTTCGCCAGCTCCTCTACGACTTTCCCTGGTCGCACATTGGGAAGCTGGCGTTTCTGGTGAGTATGGTGGAACGGAGGACGTCTGGGGGCGGGCTGCCATCCCAGGAGCTGGCAAAGCAGCCAGCCTGCCCGCACTGCCTTGTCAAGTCCTGTCACTCGTATGCGCAAGGCCGCAGCTAGCCCTGGTAGCTGCGTGACTGAAAGCGTGCTCTTCCTCATTTTGCTAGCATATCTCCTTTTTGTGCAGGGGAAAAAATTTGAGATCCAGCCAGATGGTTTGCCCTCTGCACGGAAACTGGTTTACTACACAGGTTGCCCCTTCAGGTCACGGCACTTGCTGCAACTCCTCAGCAACAGCCACCGTCTCTTTCTGAATATCCAGCCAGTGTTGAAGCAAATCCGAAAACTGGAGGAGGCTGAAGGTACGTGAGAGAAGAGTGGGTGACTTTAAGGGGAAGACTACAGCGTATTAGGCTTGGCTGTTGCTTCATGGTGGCTGCTCTTTGTCTAATTAATGGTGTTTCTGCCTTACCAAGGAAGACGGTGAGAGAATTGGAGGTGTTTGATGTGTTTCAAGTCCATTACTAGGAAGTGTTTTGGTTCCCACGCTGCTAGACTGTGGTCAGAAAGCATGTTTGTGTGAGAGCAGCAGAGGGGGAATATCTCCCTTCAAGTAAGAGGAGGTGTGTTCTTGATTTGTGCACATTTCCTATATGCTTCTGAGCAGAAGTAACTTTGAATAAAAAGCTTTCTGTTGGGCTAAGGTCATCTTGTGTTCAAGGAGCAGTACAGATTGTGAACCTATGTCGTAATTTTTTGTGCCCTTTAATAAACACCACACAACCCAGTCTATAATGTCCGACAATTAAGAGCTAGGAGTTGCAGGTGCCAGAAACAACTGAGAGCCTATCAGGACTCCCAGAATTTGTGTTTTCTGATGGGGTCCCTTTTCTGGAGCAACGGTGATTGACGGGCCTTCCAGGCAGAATTCAGTCTTTTCATCACCTTTTGGCTTGCCTCCTTCCATTTTCCAACTCTGCGATCTGGGTCTCCTACATCTTCTCAGCCTCCCTCGCCCCAGTGACTGTTTTTAATGCATTGCATTAAAATCCTCTTTAGAGGATTGTCTCCCCTTTCCTCTGGCCGCCTTCTGCATGTTTCACCTCCTCACTTCTTCCCTGTCTGCTGTCCCCTGCATTCACACTTTCTCTATTCTCTGTGGTCTGTAAGCCTTGTGTCGTTACGTTCAAGGTCAGTAGAAGTTAGCCAGCAGTAGCCGGTCCTTGTCCAAGGACACAGGCCAGCTCCTTCCAGGGACAAGTCAGGAAGAAGCTTGTTTCTGGTTTTTGCCCATCTCCTCTAACTCTAAAGAGCCTACATCCACCTCTGAAGTGGTGATCGCTGGTTGTGTGGGATCGGTGTAAAGGGCAAGGCAGCCCTTGGTCTCATCTCACTGGGTTATTTCTGTATTTCCCTTCAGTGGGGTTACAGAAGTGGCCTTGAGCTGCACAGGCACAACCAGTGGCACATGCCAGCCACCTGCAGAAAGGGTCACTAATAAAGTGCACGTGGGCTAAGGCCCTAGGTTGTTTTTTGTCTACTAGTGTCTCGTGGATTTCTTTACCACCCTCAGCATAGCTCTCTTCAGGTAACAGATACAAGACATGGGAGAAATAATGAATCATTAATAAATGCCAGCCCTGGGGATCCTGTTCATAGCTGTCTCCACACGTTGGCAAATGTTTTGAGAAACAATCAATGTACTCTATTATTAAAAGACTGAGCACTTAGGTCAGCTAAGTAATTCCCCTTTTTGACGTTTCCTTCACTGTGGAAGCTACTATTTTCTGTATCGTAACTGCCTCTACCTGCCTGTTCTAATTCAGGAGATGCTGGATTTACTGCAAGTATGACTGACTAGTTCTCTTACACCCAGCTGGGCATCCCAGTATATCTGCTGAGCAAGCAATACCAAACTGTCCCTGTTTTTGTTCAGTAGCAGCAGCGATTGTTTCCTAATTGTCAGGTTGTGCCAGTCCCAGAACGTAATGATTATTCTTGCTACCATTCCTTTGGTCTTGCTTCAAGTTCCCACTGGTTTCTGTGGTCTTTCTTCCTCAGAGAAGAAGCGCTACCGGGAGTCGTATATCAGTGACACTCTAGACATGGACCTGGACCCGTGCGATAAGAACTCGCGCGGCAGCGGGAGCAGTGGGGGCAGCCGGACGGATAACCGTCTCTCGCGCCAGTCCACAGGGAGTCACAGCAGCTCTCACACGTCGGGCATCGAGGCTGACTCCAGGCACAGGGTGTCGGTGGAAATGTCAGTGGATGAGCCCTTCAGCATTGACCGGGTGCGTAGGAAGGAGAAATCCTGCAGCTCGACCATCAGCTACGGCAGCTCTGGCATTGACAGTGGCAGCAAAGGGCGAGTGGAGGACGACTCACAGGATGATGGTAAAGAATTTGGAGATGCGGAGCAACTTCTAAGCCTGCTCATGCCTTCTCCTGCAGGAGAGTGGGGAGTAAGAGAATGTGAAGCAACTCGGAGCAGAAGTGTAATGCTAACTCTTCTGCCGCTCTCTTCCTCCTAGAGCTTGAACTGGCAGTAGATGAGCCAGAGGAGGTGCCTGTAGATGAGCCTTTAGAGGGAGACCAGTTAGAGGAGGCCACTGTGGGACAATCTGTTGAATCTCTTCCTCTAGATGCTGCTAGCTGCCAAGGTGAGACGGCTTTCTGCTATTGCTCAGTCCTTTTCTTTAGGCTCTAGCAATAGGAAGATATGTTTGGCGAGCCAGGCATAATTTGAGGGATCTAAGAAAGCTGTATCTTCTTCCAAATGACTGCCAGTGCTACTTACTGCCCTACTGCAACAGGATTTGAAGTCAGCTCACCTAGAGGTTAAAGGCCAGCACCCTGTATTGTACGGTGCTGCTCTCCCCTGTGCTCCTCAAGGTCTCCCTTCCCCAAATTTGCCAAGTGTATGCTCAGTCGATGACAAAAAAGGTAACGGAGGTAAACCTTTTGTAGTGGAGGAATTTGGCTTAAAATCTTATATACCACAAAACAGCCGGGGGGTTCAACCACAGATCAATAGGCTAGTTGCAGGAATTAATAGGTGAAGTTTTGTGGCTTGTGATACAGGGAATGCCAGACAATTGGGTCACGCAGGAGCTGTCTGGGCTTAAGACATACAGCCTTTATAGCAAAGCGAGATGGGCGAATATGGGACAAGTCAAGAAGGTGTTAATGCTTGTGAGTGTTTAAACATTGCCCTTAGGGGCAAAAGGGAGTACTTGTGAGCGAAACTTGTGAGGGTGCTTACTGATGTATACTTAGGTTTATAGGATCGCTCTGCCCAAATGTGGCCTGTGAGAACAGCTTCCTTCCTCCAGCCCACAAAACCTCAAACCTGCAACGCTTTTCATGTCCTCCTTCTCCTTTGCAGCTATAAATCGGGAATCGCTGTCTGTGGTGCAAGTCACGCTAATAAAAATGAGAGGTCAAAGTGTGGAATCCCTTCACCAGGTAAGGCCCGGCGCTCGGCAGGAGGGTCTGTGTGTGAGCGCCGAACCAAGGTCTGGTGTCATGGAAACAGCTGTAGATTGGGTGAACACCTTTGGCCTGGATTTGACCGATTTTTAAATGATGTAACCAAACCCAGCTGTTGGCCAGCTGCTGCTATCAGGAATAGGATGAGAGCAGCGTTTGAGTCCAGAATAGTATAGAGAGGTTTGGAGCAATCTGCATGGAAATCTTGGAAGCCAGCTATTGTCTGCCTTAGACTTCCAGGCGAGAAATGGAAAATAAACCGCTTGCAAATTTTCAGCGCAATATAGAGCCAAGACCATCCATGCAGTTTGGATGTGGGTTCCAAATTCTATCGTCTTCCTGCTCCTGAAGCCAGAAGGAGCTCACATCAGAACAAAACCAGATGCTCAAGCTCTAATTACTATCATTTGTATGATTATACTATGTGTGTGCTGAAGTCTTTGTTGTCAACGTTTTCTTTTCATCCAACCCTTGAGAAAAGGCAACTATATATGGTAAAATACGTCATACACTGTGCTTGGAAGAAGCTTATTAAAATGTCTTTTTAAGGTCAAATTATATTTCTTTTGAAAGCATAGCTGTACTCACTGGGGTAGAAATGTGTGGTGTTTTTCTTCTTTTCAAAAAAACCCCACAAACCTCCACAATTATGTCTCTCTCTGAATCCAGATTAGCCTTATCTGCTAAAAATTTTAAAAATCTCTTCAGCGTTTTCCCTTTTACTCCCTGAATTTTTCTGAACAAGGACTCCAGTCACTTCTGGGGACTTTTTTCCTCTTTTCATGCTTCTTCCTGGACCTAGACAAAAGTGATAAGAAATTTTCACTTATCAGCAAAACAGTCTGTAAAGTGCTATAGGAGATTTAAATAAAATCTTGGGGTTTTTTTCCAAAGCTGAACCATGCACTGCAAATCATAATGAACTTAGTCCTATATTTGAGAGGGATGACTTTAGTGCTGGGCAGGGAGTGGGCATCTTGCTTACAGTAACGTTTTTACGTTAAAGCTTTTGCCAACACATGCTTATGCTGTTAATTGATCGGTAGGCATCTGTTTTACGAGACCATTTCTGATCAACACAGGGCTGTTTAAGCAGCTGCAGAGATCTGGCTGCCACTTCTGTGCATCAAATGTCTGGTGCATCTTTAAAACACACAAAACCCAAACCGAAAAAAGCACCTACGAAACAAACCCCCTTGGTTCCAAGGCCATGTAACTGAATGCTGCAGAACTGGGTAACCTTAGTGTTGACCGGACTGTACGGCGTGTGCCTGTTTCTGGGAGCGCAGCTGAGCCAGCGCAGGGTTCCCTCAGGGTAGTTGTTTAATTCCCGTCCCATGGGGGCGAGAGAAGTGATACTGGGTGGAAGTTTCCTGTGTTGCCAAGTATTGCAGTATTCCTGAAATCAGCCTTAATTTCAGCTGAAATCAGCTAGAAAAGCAGGTGGGAGTCTCGATGGCCAGTAATTCCCCTGCCAGAGGCCAAGTTGATACAGCTTGTGTAGCAAGACACTGCCTCTGGGAATTACTACTGGTTTGTTGCTTCTGTTTTCTTCACTGCTGAGCAATGCTGTGTAGATGAAACTGCATGTTGCACTTGGTGAATTTTGGGCACCGTAGGCTGTTAGTTTGCGTGGCTGCCTTCTGAAGCCTCCTTTCAGCTCGTTAGGCTTTCACTAACCCAAGCAGCTGGGGTAATTTTTTGTTGCTTGCACTTTGCCTGTTTGAGGATGACTGCGTGGATCTGCCAAGAAGTGTCAGTTGTCAAGTGTTTGATCCATTGTGCTGGACACTGAGGACACAGCACGGAGAGATCAGGATTTGGCTCAAGATGGCGGGGCAGCTTAATGCACTTGGAATTTCTTAATGGTTCACAGCTTCTTCATTAAGCCAAGGTCCTTCAGAAAGCTGATGGGGCTGTTTTGAAGGAGTGGAAGAACAATTTTGGAAAACTTGTAGCATCCATAGGCAGCATCCTTAGGCTGTGTCTGAGCTCATAGTTTTTATTTGTGTGTGTCTTACTGAACTGGCAGGTCAGATCACCCAAAAGCAGGAGCTGCACGGACCAGCACAGCCAGAGTTTGGACGACATCCGCCTTTACAAGCACCGGCACCCACCACTAAGTGCCACGCTGTCTTCGGACACATCCCACAGCTACACGTTCGGCTGCAGCCTGGAGGACAAGCTGTCTGTCTATGGCTGTGTTTATTCCACAGCGGACTGCAAAACCAAGTCTGCCCTTTATGGGAAGCGATCCATGAACTGCCTCTCCTTGGACCTTCTGGGAGAGGACCAGCTCCCAGAGGAGTTTGTGGTGTAATGAGATTGGAGCTCTTCCATACTGGGAAACAGCTCATCATGGAAATATATACCTCATTAACACACGTGATGTCACTCTGGTTCTTGCAGGAGGTTGTGAGCGGCTTTGTTACTCAGCTCCAGGATCAGTAAGTGGCGTCACTCCTGCAGACCTGACTGCAGGGCGGATCAACTGGCGTGTAGCACTTAGCCTTGGGATTTGAAGTGTCTGAGCAGAAAGTGGAAGTGCCCTGCGCCACTAGCGGTGACACAACCATCACCAAAACCAGGACCAAAACTGACACTGAGCTAGTAGAGCAAACGCTATGTTTAAATGGATTTATGAGAAAGAAATTTGAAGTCCCATGTCAGTTTATCTTCCTGCCTTTCTCTTGTGGGTCCATTTTTGTTAATGCTAGTGTACAGGTAGTTTGGTTGTCTTGAGTTTGTGCTGCTGCAGCGCTGCCAGCAGCTGTGGGGTCAGGATGCAGCCTGAGAACGTTTGGAGGTCTGTGTATGGAATTGTCTAGTCTGTTCCTGTTGTAATGAACACAAGCTGCCTCTCTGCTTTACTGGGAGCAAGACCTGCTCTGCCAGGAGTTTTTCTCTTTTTGCTGTTTTGTTTTGTTGTAAGCATCCAGCCAAATATAATGTACATTCTTCTTTTTTATTCTTCTCTTTTTTTTTTTTGTTAATGCAACAAGAGGAACTGTCTCTCAGCTGTCTACTACTGCCATGATGCAGATTGGTAAATAAATGCTTATATCCTTAGGGAGATGGGGGTGGGATAAAACAAGTTACTTGGCTGCTTCTGAGAGTACAGGAGACAAGTTAAGAGCATTAATTGACTGGCTCTTGAAGAGTGCGACTGGAGAATTTGTCCAGGCATGATCACCTCTTACTTTGAATCATACTTTTATGTTGCTTTTTTTGTTGTTGTTTTTTAATAAATCTGTTACTTAGAAACTTTTCCTCTGCTTAGGCAAGTATGGACGGGAGAAAGTCGCTTTGGAAGGACAGACAGAGTCACTGTGTCCAACTTAGTCATGGATAGGTCATGCAGATGTGAGCGTGTGATGCTGCAGGGCTGGTGATGGTGGAAGCATAGAGGGGTTAGTGCCAAACCAAGGGCACTCGTATGGTGGCGCTGGCTGTGCTGGCTCTCACTAGGAAAATAATGACAATTATGCTGTTTGATTCAAGCATTTGGTGTGGAAAACATCCTGCTGCCTTGTTGCATCCAAATAAACATATGATTTCCTTCCCTGTCTTCCCCCAGTAGTTCCTCCACTCAGTTTCCCAGCGTTTGGGAAGCTGGTACTTACAGGCGTGTGTAACCTGTTCCCAGCTTTTGACACCCTTGCAGGTGGAAGCTAATAATTTTTTGGCAAACTCTAGAACTCTGTTCTGCCGGTTGAGGAAGCAGCTGTTGCATGGTGTTGATCACTGGAAAGCTGAAGGTGGCTGAATTCAGGAAAGGAAGGAAGCCAGAGCAGAACAAGGAGGGTTTGAGCCGCTGCGCTGATGGTGGGCTCGCAGGATTAGCAGTTGGCTGGTAAACTGCATTCCCATAAACTGTTAAAATAGCAAATCTGTGAAGTCTGTCCCCTCACTATTTCTGTGTGAGTATGGTGTAGAGACAGAGCATCCAGGTGCATCTGCGTGTACTGAAGTGGCACCAGTGGCTGTACATCCTCTGAGACGAACCCACCACCAAACCCTATAGCTGCGTGTTTGAGGAATGAATGGGATTTAATTGACTGTGCCCACTGTGATCACACTCTTCTTCCTTTTTGTAATGAACAGTTAGGAGCTGTGTTCACTGCTGCCTCTTTTCCCTTCTTCCAAGCCAAAATGCCTTTACAGTGTACTTCACTGCATCCAAAATAAACTGTTTGGATCCATCTATTGGATGGATTTAGATGGGTGAAGGACTCCTGGCTGCTCATGAGCAGTCCGGTCGAGCCTTCTGCTGTTGGTTGCTCCCTGTTAGCTGGGGCCCATTTGGCTGTAAGCTGTGGGAGACTGGCATGGCCAGGATCCAGGAGGCACATGGCAGGGAGCAGCATCCTTGTTCTTGCAGCTGCTGTGGAGCTGGAGGGACGGCTCTTACTGTGGTGGTGCCTGCCTGTGAAAAAGGGGGGGGGCAGTCTGGAGTGACAGCCCTGCTAAACTGTTGCTCTCCCATGCGTGCAGACATACAGTTACTCGTGGTTCTGGCAAT